GTATATACTCGAGTACAGCATTAATAAAATGTGTTGAGAATGATGTTGCCTCCATTAGTTTGTTTAGTCATTCAAGGAAAAAATAAGCACCCAGGAGCAATTATTTGATAAAAATGTTTATTCTAAATCAGATTCTGGAGGGGGAATGTATTCAAATAAATACTGCATACATTATTTAAATATCATTCATTGCTTCATTTTATGGATGAAGCCATTGTGTATCCAAAAATATTATTAATAATAACAAGAGCACTCAGTAGAGAGCATATCTCCGCCAATCTCTTTCTATAAAAATAAATCCTCAAAGATATGTTCCTACCTGTCTCTTATACACATCTAGATGTGTATAAGAGACAGGTACAGTAGGAGGAAAGTTTGTTTTCCCCCCTTTTTTCCCTCCCTATATCTCTTCCATGAGTAGATAGATGAAAGTTTTAATGAATAAATGTGTGAAATCCACAAAACCCTGTGATGGAAAAAATAAATTGAAAAAAAAAATTAATAAAAAATGGATTTAAAAAAAGGTAAAAATAGTGTGAGAGGTCCGTGAGGCCCATCAATGGATCTTCAAAGAGAGAGTTGATTTTTTTTCTATAAAAAAAAAAAAAAAAAGAAAAAGAAAATAAAAAAAAGAGAAAAAAAACAAAAATGCAAATGCAAAAAATTAAGTGAAAAAATTAAATTCAACAAAAATATCTACCATTTGAGGTGAACCAAGAGTGTACTAACACGGTTTTAATTGCCCCTCCGGATTCTGTAGACAGTTTTTTGAGCGATGCTTGAGGGGTTAAAATTTCCTGAGGTGAACAATTATTTGGTACAAATATAATAACTACTATATTACATAGTAAATTAATGAAACTTCCAAAGCTGCTTTTCACTGCAATGAGTTCAATGCTAAGACTGTATTCAACCTCGACAATCACAATCTGTCAGCAGCTGAGAAATCAGTACTCATCCTAGGCTTGAACTTTGCTATGGCACCTTTGACTATACCGAAGGAAGAGATCATCCAACGAGTAGAACCATCGCTAAATGGGATTGAAGACGTTTCAATTCAATTCAATTCAATTCAATTAACATTTATTCAATTAATTAATAAATACATCAAGTGATAATAAAGTGGACAACATTAAAATTAATTAATTAGGATCAAAAATAGAAGCAAAGCTTGTCTCAATTTGACCCCGACAAAACAAAAAGTAAAAACTAATAATAAACGCATATAAGGTAGACCTACATTTTATATACAAATATATATATATATATACACACATATATATATATATATATATATACACATATATATATACACACATACACACACATACATATATACATATATATACATACACATACACACATACATACACACACGTACATACATACATACATACACATACATACACATACACACACTAACATACACACACATACACCCCATACATTCATGTAAATACACACACACGAACACACACACACATACACACATACATACATAAATGCACACACACACACAAATCAACATATACACACTTATGCACACATATACATATACATACAATATAAATCATCAAAGGTACATATGCAGTGTCTAGATAAGGACATGATGGAACACCGTAGGCTACCCTGTAGCTATTTAACAAATGTACATGTATATATGTTTGAATATCATACATATATACATATACATACACATACATATATAAAATAAAATAAAATATTTAAATAAAGTTAAGATTGGTACATTTCTAAATAATATTTCTTCATCTGCTTTCTAATTAGATTCAAATTTAGTTTAATTCTGTTGGAATTTGTTTTTAAGTCAATTAATACAAAACTGTGAAAAATATTGAATGACTGCCCGACAAAAAAAAAACCTAAGTAAGGGTACTCATATTCAGGTAGGGGACACATTGTTTGGTCCCGATATAAACATTAACATGTTTTAGTAATGTCAAGTATTTTTAATTTTTATACATGTATATTATCCTCATCAACAACATTATTATTATTATTATTATTATTATTATTATTATTATTATTATTATTATTATTATTATTATTAGTAGTAGTAGTAGTAGTAGTAGTAGTAGTAGTAGTAGTAGTAGTAGTAGTAGTAGTAGTAGTAATAGTATCATCATCATCAGTGTTATTACTATTATTATTATTATCATCATCATTGTTATTATTATATTACTACTACTACTAATTATTATTATAATTATCATTATTATTATTACCATCATCGTCAGCCCATTCATGAAATGACCAGATAATATTGTTCTTTTACCTTGTCCACACTATCAAATTGTATGTGTCAAGAAACTGGTGATATGCCTATATATGACTATATTTGCAGTGGCGTAAGGTATGGACAAGTATGCAAGTTTTAAAAATATAAAGAGAAACGTAGAATAAAATGACCTTGTCAATTTTTGGAGTGACATTCATGTTATTTGTACTTAAACTTAGTGCACATCCTAAAAAATCAAGGCATGAACAGCTTCGTAGCTGTTGAATACATTTAAGGTTATTTTTTCATTCAGGTACCACAATGCTCTAAAATACTTTTTGAAATATATTTCTAAGGCACTTGAAATGCCGACACGCACGTATTTGTTTGTTATTTTAAAGTTGTACTATAGTTGTGCACGTTTTTTAATCACGTCTAGTCATCATACTTTATGAATGTTTTAGAATTACTTCATTACAATTAGGTGAATGGTTGTTCTATTGTTGCCAGTACTGCACTTTTTCAGATAATCACAAAATGCCCAATAGGCCCTATATGAACAAATATAGGACTTGACCTTATTTTGCAATATCTCAA